AACAATCATTTTACCTTCCTGAAAGGAGTATAAAAGGGCATTTTTCAGAAGTCCTGGAGGAACTATGCCTGTTCTGTGTTGGAAAAATTATTATATTAGCCTTCACCCATCACCATGAGCTCATTTCAAATAACTAGAGGAACTATAGGCGCATAAGCCAGTAAGTCCTTCCTGCTGAATAGATCTATTTAGAGATGTTCATCTATTCTAGAGAAATGAATCACATTTTATTAGTTTACTGACAGAAATTTCACCACACCAAAAGCTATGCCCATATCTAAGCGTATTTTCCTCACTGCTAGAAGTTACCGTTCCCACATTCTTTTCTCTTCCCTTTTCATCATATAATAAAGTCATTCTAAAACTAGCACAGCATTTATTTGTTTAATATGTTCACAACATGTGATTTGCTAAATCTAAAGTAATATATAAGATAGGAAGGAAGGAGAGGAGAGGAATGCAAGTAGAAAGGATCAAGATGCAATATGTATGTGTACCAATATCCCAAAGTTAATATATTCATTGTATTTCACAAACATATATCAATTAAAACAGTTTTAAAAGAAAAAATAATTCATACTGCTGCTACTTCCCATTATGATAACTTTAGTCATTGGTTATTGCATAAATTAGACTAGGTTAATGCTTTGAGATTGGCCAAGTGTCAGGTCTGAGGCAAATGACCGATTCACAGAAAACAAAATGTGACAAGATCTTAAGACACATGCTTGAGGCCTTTGGATGAGATCAATATATTAGCATCAGATAAAACTAAGACTTGCAGAAATGGACTTTTACAAATATACAGCATATATTTCCCAGAAGAAGCTACCTTTGTAGGACTGAAGACTAGAAATATTATGAAAGAAGAAATATAGATGAATGTTTCTAGAGAAATGTAGAACATATAATTTGTTAAAAACCATACTTTTCTTATTCTATTTAGAAGAAACAAAGCCTTTCTAAAGGCTTAGAAAGTCAATTCACTCCTATCTACATTGTATTCTTTGTCTACGTAGTGGGAAATTTTACTAAATGACTTCCAAGAACCTTTTGGGCATTTAGAAAATTTATACTTTGAAGTACTTTGCAATTTTTCATAAAACTTAAAGAAAAAAACTCATAGAGCAGATTTTGAAAAACAAAATAAACCCCTCAAATAAAACCTACCTGGAAAAATACAAAGAATTAAAATAAGATATTCTTTAAATCATTTTTTAAATCAAACACTATCAAGAAAAGTCATAAAAAGCTTAGCAAAGACACCTGGAAGTTGAATACATGAAATAACAAACAACTCTTGCAAAAAATATGTCAAAGGATGGAGTGGGGAAGATGTGAGCTCAGTGTTAGGCCAGGTAGTAGAAATTCCATTAAGTATGTAAAAATATAGATGTGAAGCTCATACAGATACCAGAGCAAGAGACATAAAATTGAACTCTGAAGCCATAAAAATGGGTTGTTCAAAAGTGATGGCATAATGGAAAAGAAAGTAAATGGAAGCCAATGCCAAAGAAAACATACAATAAGAAATGAACAGAAAAGGACAAGCCATCAAAAAACAAGAGAGAAGGTCTGAGAAGATAAGAAGGAAAACTGCTGCATAATTCTCCAAAACAGAGAAAGAGAACTGCAGAGGATAGAGGCAGACTTCCATCCATACCCCACCCATACTGGGCAAAGAGCTTCCAAAATTATAGGATAATGGAAATCCTAAATTAGCAAATAAAACATGGTGTTCTGGTCCTCTCTTCCTGAAAAGTAAAGATAATAATTCTATATTTTCCCTAAAAATAAGAGTGTGTAATACATTCTTTTTAGGTTGGGCAAATACATACGGATATCAGCATTTTCCTACTATACAAGCCCAAATAGGGAGCACTTGAAATAAATAGTCCCCCTCAACCTCTCTCTCTATTTAAGATTATTTTAGTCATAAAATAGGAAATTGAGATTAAAGTCATGCAAGGATTATTCCTGTTGAAAAATAAGATCTTTACAAAACATACATGTATATACATTGTATCATTGCATGTAGTATATATAAATATATACCAGTTCCAGATTTATTTGTGGCTATTAAATAATGAAAGATAAATAATCACATAGCAAATGTTAAAAGAGCCAGAGATAATCATGGAAAAACTGTAGTAGTTGTTGTAGTTAGTTAGGGGTGAGGAACAGGCTTTTAAAAACCAAAACCTAAAGGTTTCTCTCCTACAGTTTGGTAGTATAGAGAGGTGGTTAGTATCTCTGAAGAAAATAAAATCCTAGGGCTTACACAGGCTACCTGTAGACATTTACAGAGCATTATTTAAACAGACAGCAGGCTCTTGGGTTACTTAGCGGCTGTTTATTTCCAGAATCTTCTCCTTCTGGCCAGGTCACCACACGATCTAAACAGTGATTGCACATAATTATTCTCAAGGCAACTACACAGTAGAGAGCTGAAAATGAGAGCCTCGGTTGAATAGCATTCAGCCGATTTGACAAATGCCCTTTTGCATCTATCTGCACACCCTCCCGTAATATTTGCAGACACTGAATTGTACCAAAGAATCTTGACAAAGCTTCAAGTGCAGACAGGTACCTTTTCTTATCTTTATTTTTACATTTGGATGGGTGAAGGGGATAAGAAGTGGGGCAATATCATGGAGTGCCACAAATATCACTGTGAGACTTAGACTGCTTCCCAAATAGGAAGTAAACATCACTAGTAAAAGAATTTCTAAAGCTATTGTTCTTACTTAAAATCATGTAGGAAAAATGACAAACCAGCATCCAATTAATTTTCCAAGCCTTTTCCAAGGGATTACAAATTTAAAATAAATCCCCATTACACCTTCAACTATTGAACAATATATTCCATAACTAGTTTTTTGACCCCTCACACAATATCTACTGCTGCTGAGTATTTGGCCATTTAGTTTCTTTCCTACATTCTAGTGACCAAGAGTCAGGCTATGCTTCAGCCCTCAGAGCCCAGGCTGCAGGGATTCAGGAAAGTGAGGCTGTAGCAACAAGGCCTGCCAGGTGACAGCCCTTTGGCACCATGTGTAGGAAGCTTCTGGTGCAGAAATCTGCCTTATTGTGACACTCCTGTGTGTGCTCTGTAACAACAGGATTTCATCAGTATGAATACTAAATAGGACTGGAGGACTAATAAAATATTTGAATTTAAGACAATGTGATACCACAATATTAAGAGGAAAAAGGAAACATGTATAACATCCTGGGGACAGAGTGAATGTGGGCCACTGGCACATTATATATTAAATTAAATTATTGATCATCGTTTCACCAACAGCTAATCATCTTACAGACTTTCATACCAACAATGCTGAGGGTATGTCTAAGTACCCAGCAGCACTACTAAGAAATATCATTTCTGTTCTCTGTCATTATCACCCTAGACAACAAATGGCACCCCACAACCTATGTCCATACCTTCCATCTTCCTGGTCCTTCCTTAAACTACTTGACCACGGCATCTCTTGCACAAGCCCCTTTCTTTTGTGTAGGATTGCTGGCCCGTTGGGACAGTGTTATTTATATAGGAATAAACACACTCGATGTCAGAAAGCCACAATTTCAAATCCAAATTCTACCACTTAGAAGATCTAGGGCTCATTTTATTTGTCATCTCTTTCAAGTGTTCAAAACCAAAGGGTTCTTCTGAAATGACCAGGAGCTAGATTGCAACTCAGATAGTGGCTCTGCTCCCCCAGGCATTAATGACCTGGGGCTCATCCATGCCTCCCATTTAGGCATTGTTAAGGGACTCTCACTTTGCTTTAGAGGCCCTGGAAGACATGTGCAATCAAAAATGAAAGTGATAAATCTATTATCAATAATATGTCTATTTGGCCATAAATTACAACCTGAAGAAAGCTTATTAAATATCAACTTTACACATACAATTGAATTTCATCCTTAAAAATAGCACTGTGAAGTGGAAGCTATTATTATTCCCATTCTGTCAATGTGGAAATTCAGGCATTTGGAGTCTACATAACTTGTCTAGTGTTAAAGGGCTATCCAGGGAAGTGCTGAAGATTTAAATGCAGATCATCTGAATTCTGAGCCTGTATTTTAATCGTCACTCTCCACTAACTCAAAATAATAGTATGGAACAATCTGAGAAGAAATTCCTTCTCCTTGTGCACAGTAAGGACCTAGAAAAATGGGGGGTGAAAAGCAAAATAGAAATAATGTTTCATCAGAAAGCCTTACTTTAGAGCAAGTATCATGTATAAATCAGTGTGGTCAATCCTGGGGGATAAATATAAAATACTTTAAGGCCTTAAATAATAGCTAAAGAGAGGACACAGCTCCATAATTATATGATTGTCAATATATAACAGACTCTCCAAGGTCCTATTACAGTAGTTATCATTGTGCACACTATTTTCACCTGCGTTCTCCAGGTAGACTAAGAACATGGGCAGTTCCCTTCACCACCATATCTGCAGAGCTTGGCTGTATGACTGGCATGTGACAGTCCTCAGACAGTGTTGAATCCATGACCCCTGAATGAACGAATGCTTGACAGTCAAGTTAATGTCTATTAATGCCAAATATTTAGGGATTTTAAGAAAAGAGGGAAAACTGTAGAGTGCTGTATCAGTACAGGACCTTAAAGAAATAAGCACTTACAATCAAGAGTGAGTGGAATTTTAACTTGTAATGATATCTGAATGAAAGACAATAAGATTTTTTAATAGAGTGTCACTTTTTCTCACTTAAATTTTCTAATTCTGGAAGCAAATGCCTAGAAAGATAATACTGTATTGTTTTCTTTTCTTTGGGCTGGGAGTTGAACAATACTAGAACTAAAAAGCTATGAATAAAAGATACACCTTGACAAACTATATAAAGACGCTAAAATGTAACTAATTAGAAAGTATGTTCCAAGAAAAAAATCAAGGATCTATTTTTCTAGAATTTTTACTTCACATAACTACCTAGGAACTTTCTATTATCTGGTAGGAATACTGCAATGTTCCTGCAGCATCTTGTAATTTAGATTTCTACCTGATTCTAATGGGCATTTAGAGTTTCTTAATTCTCTGATTATTGCTTTTAAAAATACATTCTCATAAAGAATACACAATGATGCTGCTTTAGCTTCAACATATATTTTCAGAGTTTCTCTTCCCAAGGAATATTGAGACCATAACAGAATATAATTTATTCCAACCTGAGAAGCATAGTAAGAACAAACCATTACTCTTCTGCATTTTGAGTACATCATTATCCTCATTAGATTTTGCTGGCACAATCTTCCCACTCATGTGCATTCTTCAATGATATAAGTTTATGTTCAATTGATTGCTCGTGGCAATCAATTCCTTAAAAGCTATTCTTAAGTTAGGTGCCTGAGTTTTTATATGCAGCATAATATTTGGAAAAAAACTGAATTATAATCAGCTATGGACCTAGAGTTAGAAAATAACCACCATTCTCCACTAACTCAAAATAATAGCAGGGGAAGGTTAGTACTATTGTTTCATGCTTTTATTAGCATAGCTGAAATCCATAGGTTTCAGTGCCAAAATCTGTACTGTTTTAATGACCATCCATTATTTCATTCCATGATTTTACCTTTCAGAACATATTGAGATTGTAATGTTAAGTTAAAGTACAGCAAGATTACCAAGCCTTTTTTATCATTAATACTACTGTATTTTGAAGCATGAGGATATTTGGTGTATTCATTTCTTAATGCTGCTGTAACAAATTACCATGAATCTAATGGTTTAACACAACACATGTTGTTACAGTCCAGTAGGCCAGGAGTCCAGTATGGGAATCACTGGACTAAAATCAAGATGTGTACAGGCCACATTCATTTCAGGAGATCATCTGTTTCCTAGGTGCTTGTATTGTTGGCAGATTTCCATTTCTTGAAGTCGCAGGAACAAAGTCTTCAATTTCTTGCTGTCCATTGCTGAGGGTCTTTCCCACACATCATTCAGCTCATGTCCATATTCCTCTGTCTTCAGTGCAAGCAAAAACAGGTTTAGGTTTTCTCATGCCATATCTGTTTGAGACAATATTCTGCCTTTTTATTCCATATTTAAAGACTTGTATGATTAGAATGGACCCTTCTGGATCACCTAGAATGACTAGTCCATCTGAAGGTCCTTAATTTTAATCATATCTGCAAAGTTCCTTTTAACAAAAACACACAATTACCAAGAATTAATATATAGATATTTGGGGAGTCATTATTCTGTTTGCCATGCTTTTTCATAATCATTTTTCTATTATAAAATAAAATAAGGAACAGGATGATAATAACCAGTGGACTTCTCTGAGAAACAATGCAAGGAATATTTAAACTATATAAATTATTAAAGAAAAACTATTTTAAGTGCTAAATGAAAAATACCAATCAGGATTCTATATCCAAAGAAATTGCTCATCAACATGAAAGAGAAATATTTCCCTCAGACAAAATTGAGGAATTTTGTTCAACCCATTCAGGATCCCTCCTATATCTTAGGTGCTGTCCTTACTCCCCATTCTTATTAGGATTCATCCTTCTTCTGCTTCTATTCCATCAGACCCCCTCCCATACCCTACTGATTGGTGCTACTCAATTCAGAACATTCTCTCCATCAGTTTGGTGTCCCTCATGCCAATCATCTCTAGAAACACCCTCCAAGACACACCAAGAAGCGTGCTTTACTAACTTTCTAGACAGTTTTCAGTCCACTCAAATTGACAATCAAGATTAACCATCACACCAAGCATATCAATAATTAAATATAAACTCTCCGTGTATATCAAATAAAAGACTGTCAGGATGAATTAAATAAAATTCAACTGTATGTTGCATACAAGTAGCCTAGTTCACCTACAGACTCTGATAGGATAAATGTAAAGGGATGAAGAAAGATGTACCATGCTAACACTAATTAAAAGGAAACTGGAGGGTTGGGGATTTAGCTCAGTGGTTCTTCCACCTGCCTCACAAGCACAAGGTCCCAAGTTTGATCCCTGGTACCAAAAAAAAGAAGAAGAAGAAGGAAACTGGAATAGCTTTAATAATTTAAGGCAAAGCAGCCTTCAGAGTAAGAAAATTTTTCATCAGTGACACATGAAGAAAATAATTTAATATGAAAAAAGAGATACAGTTAATGCTAAAGGATTGATTTTTCAAGAATATGTAATAGTTCTAAATATGGACCTGACAAAAGGAAATCAAAATATTTGAGGCAAAAACAGATAAAACTGCAAGGCAAAAGAAACAATTGCACTGTTATAGTTGGAGACTATACTGGTCAGCTTTTCCATTATTGGGACAAAATGCATGACATACACAACTTAAAGGAAAAAATGTTTTATTTGTCTCACAGTTTAATAAGTTTCAGTCCATGATCAGCTGGCAGAAAGGTCTTGGAGGAAAGGTATGGTAGAAAAAGACTGATCACTTTATGGTGGCCAGAAACCAGAGAACAGGGAGCACCAGCAAGAGATATGCTCTTCTAATGGGTCGGGGATTTAGCTCAGCGGTTCCACCACCTGCCTAGCAAGCCCAAGGACCGGAGTTTGATCCCCAGTACCAAAAAAAAAAAAAAAAGATATGCTCTTCAAGTCACACACACACACCCAGTGACCCACTTCCTCCAACTGTACACCAACCCCTAACAGCACATTCAGCTGATTCATGCACTGAGTATAGTGTCCTACAATACAGATCCAATCAAGTCTACAGGAATCTCTTCATCCAATCAAATTGGCAATCAACTGTCACAGAGATATAAACACCTGACTTTCTGGAACAGTAATATTAATCAATTTTACCTAGTCAACATCCATGCAATGCTCCACCCCAAAACAGCAAAATTCACATTGTTCTTAAAATCACATGGAACACTCTACAAGATATACTATATTCGAAGCTATACAGCACATTAAAATTTTAAAAATATAGAAATCACACGAAGTACGTACTCACACAACACTGGAATTGAAACTAGAAATCAACAACAGAAAGAAAGCTATCTTGAAAGTCATCAAATATTTGGAAATTAAGTAACACACATAAAATAACATGTAGATCAGTGAATTCTCAAAGAAATTAAATAATATTTGAGCTAAAGGAAAATGAAAATACAACTTACCCAAATTTGGGGGATTGAATAAAAGCAATGTTTAGAAAAAATTTATGGCATCTGGTGTGTGTATATATATATATATATATATTATAATTATTAATTATAATAAGATATATAATAAAATAGGAAAGATTTAAAACCAGAAAATCCAAAACAGGATATTAGAGAAAGAAGAACAACCTAAGCCTAAAGCAAGCAGAAAAAATAGAACAGACAAATAAAATTGAAAATAGGAAAGCAGTAATGAAAATCAGTGCAAACAAAAGTTGCTTTTTAAAAATAAAAAATAAAATTTATAAACTGCTTGCCAAGATAACTAGGAAAAAGAAGAAATAAGACACAGCTATAATTACTAGAAATGAATTAAGGATCATCACCACTGTTCCTGTGGATATTAAAAGAATAGCAAAGAAATACTATGGCAACTCCAGAGCTGCAAAATGGTAATTTCTATGAAATAGAAAATTGCTTAAAAGCTATGTTATTGCACTCATTCATGTTGTAAATTGATTTGTAGTCAAAGTAGAAACTTTCCGGAATTTCTTTTTTTAGTGAGGTGATATTTTCCAGCCGAGTACAATCCATACAATTTCCTGTCAGTCACATCATTGTAAAAAGCATCAAAACCAAAGGGGAGACATTACTGTATACACTGAATTGCTTTGCGTGGTCTCATGCGTTATAACTGTTGTAAGAATCCTGACTTTTTTGTGTTTACAAACATTAAATAAAATGAAAAAAAAACTTACTCAAGAAGAAATAAGTAACACTCCTGTATCTGTTAAGGAAATTGAATCAATAATTATTACAGAGTGAATATTTATATTGCCCCACCCTACCCCATCTAATTCTGTGTGAGGCCTGTTGTAATGTTATATAGTATCTGACATGAAGGCTTCAGGGGAAAGAAGGGATAAAATAGGTCACATAGGTGGAGCCCTCATGATGGGATCAGTGGCTTATAAGAGACATCAGAGAACTCTTTCTCTATTTGTCTCTGCTTGTGACAGCACAGTAAGAAGGCAAGGCAAGGATGACCCTTACCAGGAACCTAGCCACAATGACCCCTCACCTCAACTTCCAGCTTTTAGAACTGTGAGAAAATAAATATCTTTTGTGAAAGCCATTGTCTATGAAAAAAAATGACTTTTAAAAAATGAAAGCACCAAGCCCAAATGGCTTCAGTGAATTTTATTAAGGATTTAAGGAAGAAATAATGTCAATTCTCCAAACTCTCTCCCAGAAATAGAAGCAGAAAAAAAGATCACCAACTCATTCTATGAGGTCAGTATTACACTAACACTAAAACTAGATGAAGACATTATAAGATAAGAAGCCTAATGAACAATATCTATCACGAACTTAGATGCACAAATCCTTACCAAAATCTTAGCAAATTCAATCCAACATTGCATAAAATAAATACACATCAAGATCAAGTAGGATCTATTCCAAGTATGAAAGGCTGAGTCTGAATTTTAAAATCTATAAATGTAGTTCACTACATCAACAAACTAAAGGAAAGTCAGAGGATTATATCAGTGGTACAGAAAAGCATTTGACAAAAGCACTGACTCATAAAAACTCTCAACGAACTAGAAGTAGAGAGAAACACCCTAATTTTGTAAATAACATGTATAAAATCCTCCAGCTAAGATAAATTGAACACTTTCCTCTAAGCTCAGAAACAAGGCAATGATAACCTTTCTCAATACTCTCATTCTACATCTAGAATTTGTATCTAATTCAGTAAGATAGAGGAATAAAATATATTCTGCCATGTTCTGAAAATTTATAACTTCCCCAAATTCATTTGAAATCTTTGCACCAAAGATAATGTCAGTAAGAAATGAGTGCCTCTGAGAGTTATTAGGCATGGAAGCGAAGCCCTCATTTATGAGAAGAGGGTCTTCATAAAAGAGGTCTGAGAAACACTCCTGCCCGTTCCACCTTGTGAAGTGAGACTACAAAAACATTGGGTGTGAGGAGGAAGGCACTCACTGAACACCATAAATGCCAATGCCTTGAGTTTGGTCTTTCTGCCCTATGTTACTATTAGAAATAAATTCAGAGATGATGTGATTGTCTCCTTTGAAAATCCGAAGAACCAACAACAGCAACAAAGTATCCTGGAACGAATACACAAGTATAGCAAATACACAGAATATATGACTAATATACAAAAGGCAATGCTTTTCTACACACCCGTATATTCATTTCTATCACTATGATGACACACTCCCACAAACTTAGTGAGTTAAAACAGCACAAATATATTTTCTAAAAGTTCTGAAGTTCAGAATTGTGGAATAGTTTGAGTGAGTTAAAAATCAAGATGTCAGTAAGGCTAGATTGCTTTGAGGTGTGCTAATGGAGATTCTATTTCCTGTTTCAACTCCCAAAGGCCACTTCCATTATTTGCCTCAACTCTTAAACATCTTCAAGCCCAGAATCACAGCCACTAACATTTCCTTGATTCTCAAGCTTCTGCTTCCATGGACAGCTCTCCTTTTAGGACTCTAGCTCACCTGCCTCCTTTTTATAAGGACCCTAACACACTGGACCCAGCTATATCATCCAAAGTAATCTTCAATCTCAAATTCCTTAATCACATCTGTATAGTCCCTTTTCAGGGTAACCTTAAATATTCATAGGTTCTGGGCCCTAGGAATTGTACATCTCTGAAGACCATATTCTGTGTACTACTCCAGTAAAGGATAGTTAGAATTGGAAATTTAAATGAGTATCATTATGTTAATGCTCTCCAAAATGAAACAGAGGTAAATCTAACAATCTGTTATAAGGTCTGTATGTGTAAAACTACAAATCTCTGATGAAAGAAACCAAGTAACACCTAAATGAAGAGAAAGATATTCCATAATTAAGGATTACAAGATCTAATAATATAAAGGTGTCGACCCATCTCAACTTGGTCTACACATTCAATGTAATTCCAATTAAAATCTAGCAGACTCTTGTAGACCTGAACAAATTAATTCTCAAGTTTATTTGAAAAATCAAAAATTCTAGTACAATCAACACAATCCTTAAGAAGATCAAACCTAGGGGGCCCACACTATCAAATTTAAAAGCATCTGTAAGGCTACGGTAATCAAGACTGTGATGTTGGCAAGAGAAATACACATAGTTCAATGGAGCAGAAAAGAGAGTGCAGAAATAGATCCACACACATGTAGCCAACTTATTTTTGCCAAAGGAGCAAAGACAATTCCATAAAAAAGGTAATCTTTTTGAACAGGTGCTAGAACAACTGAAAATAAATGAATACATGCCAGAAAATAAATCCAGCCACAGACTTACACCTTTCACAAAAATTAATTCAAAATGGATCATAGACCACAATATTCAATCCGAAGTTTTAAAAGCTCTTCAAGAAAATGTAGCAGAAAAATCTACATGACCTGGGTGTAGTAATGATATTTTACATACAACATCATTAGTATGATCTATGAAAAGAAAAACTGAAAACTTGGACTTTAATTACATACTTCCTCCTTGAGTATGCTGTTAAGAGAAATAAACTACAGGCCACCAACTCACAGAAATGATTCGCAAAACTCACATCTGACATAGGACTTATATTCAAAATACACCAATAACTCTCAGCAGTAAGAAAACAAGCCACCTAATTTAAAAAATGGCCATAAGATATGGATAGAAATCTAACCAAAGAAAGTATACAGATAGCAAATAAGCCTAAGAAGAGATAAGTTGTCATCAAGGAATTGTAAATTGGAAGAAAAAGTATGTACCACTATCATTTATTAGAATGACTGAAATCTGAACTAACAGTAATAATTGATGGTGAGGAAGCAGAGCAACAGGGACTCTCAGCCACTGCCATTCAGAGTACAAAGTGGTGCAGCTGCACTGAAAGCAATTTGACCCTTTTTCAAGGTAGAGTCTTTGTATGTTGCCCAGGCTGGACCCAACTCCCAGTCCTCCTGCCTCAGCTGTGTGCCACCACGTTTCACTCATTTCGACAATTTTTTGTTGTTATTGTTTTTGGTTTGGTTTTGTTTTTAAGACAGGGTCTTGCTATGTAGTTCAGGGCAGCCTTGAACTTACTATATAGCCCAGACTGGCCTTGAACTCATGGTGATCCTCCTGCCTCAGCCTCCCAAGTGCTAGGATTACAGGCATGTGCCACCACACCCAGCCAACAATTTATTTATTTTTTAATTCTTTTATTGGTACATTTTAGGTATACAATACGTTTACACTTTTTATTGGGTGTTTGTACCTGTACATGATGTATCTTGGTTCTTATTTTTTCCCCATTCCCTGTGCGCCCTTCACCCCCTCCACCCTTCCCTATTTACATAGACTTCATTTCCATGTTTTATCTTTTCTCGTAATTTTTCCTTTCCCTTCTTTCCTTTCCCTTTTCCCTCCTGCCCCCGACCCTTTGGACCTTTTCTTCCTATTTCAAATTATCAATTATTCATTTTAATACTTTTAATCCTTATTTACACTTTCAGTTTCTCATGCTAGAGAAACTATTTGGTATTTACACATATGTGTCCTATTTATTTCACTTAAGAGTATGGCTTCAATGTGCATCCATTTAGCTTTAAATGTCTCTAGTTTCTCATTCTTTATGGCTGAGTAGTACTCCATTTCATTAAAAAAACCACATCTTCTTTATCCAGTCTCCAGTTGATGGGCACTTGGGTTGTTTCCAAGCTTTAGTTATTACAAACTGTGCCACTATAAACATGGGTGCACATATATCGCTGTGGTATGATTCTTTTAATTCTTTGGGGAAGATACCCAACAGGGGAATAGCTGGATCAAATGGGACCTCTCACCCTAGTTCTTTGAGATATCTCCATACTGATTTCCATAGTGGTTACACCAGTCTGCACTCCCACCAACAATGGAGAAGGGTTCCTTTCTCCCCACACCTCTGCCAGCATTTGTTATTGGATGATTTCTTGATAGCAGCCCAACAATTTCTTAACATACTAAATACAGTCCTACCATTTGATTCACCCATTGTCTTCCTTGGTATTTATTACACTGATTTGAAATCATATGTCCACACTAATATTTGCATGTGAATGGTTAGGACAGCTTTATTTATAAGTACCCAAAAGTGAGAGGAATCAAGATACCACATAACAGGTGAGTGAATAAAGGGCAGTACATTCAGAAAATGGAATATTATTCAGCAATAAAAACAAGATATCCATAAAAAAGATAATCTTAAATGATTATTGTTAAGAAGAACAATTTAAGCAATAAAATGAAGTAGCATTGAATTATAACCCAGTGTATATTTTAAGTCCATGTGCTATAGTAATACTGATATAAATCAATATCTTGAGTACACAAATAAAAATTAATAATTCTATGCAAAGGAATTTAAAATAATTTCTATACATATTCCACCTTAAGGAGGTTGACCATAACTTCCACCCCATAAGTGCGACCACTACACATAGTGACTTTCTTCCAAAAAGCATTGTATAAAAATGGAGAGAAAAGAAGTACCTTTATACACACACACACACACACACACACACACACATATGCACACACACGCACACACATAAAAAAAATCCCATCAAATATCATCACAGTTAGGTGGTCAAGGTCAACACCAACAGTAATAAGTCACATTGATGTGATATGATGAGAATAGCACTTTAGATATATGGTTTCCTCACCAAAACATCCATATCAGGCCGGGGATTTGGCTCAGTGGTTTCGCCGCCTGCTGAGCAAGCGCAAGGACCCGAGTTCGATCCCCGGTACCAAAAAAAAAAAAAAAAACTTATCCATATCTACCCACAAGAAAATACACAAACGTCAGTTGTGGAACATTCTACAGAAGACTTATCAACATACCTTAAATGCTCAAGGACAGCAAAACAAAGAAAGTTCTCAGAAATTGTTAAAGCCATGAGAAGCAAAGTTTTCTTGATGATAAAATGTAATATGGGATCTTAGGTATGATCCTGCAACAGAATAAGGACATTAGGAAAACTTAGGAAATCTGAACAAAGAATGGATTTTAGCTAATAAACTTCCTGTGCTATTTTCACAATAATTCCATAATTCTAAAACTGATCTGAAATTTAAAAAATTATTGAAAAATTCAAGACAGGCCAACATCAATAACTTACAAAAGATTGGATATTATAAATGGCTCTGGCCTGCTTTGACTGAGACTATATTTATAACAAATCCTCTTGTTTAAAAAAAAAAAAGTCTGTCACACATCACTTGTGATGAATCATTGGCTACCAGAACAGAAGTATCTCCTGAAAGATTTTTCTAAAGTAGCTTTAGTTTCCATTTTCTTAAGTCTTTGAGAGGTCTTTTTTATTTATTTATTTTGTGTGTGTGTGTGGTATTGGGGATCGAACCCAGGACCTCGCACTTCCAAGGCAGGCGCAGTGTCACTGAGCTAAGCCCTTGAGAGATCTTTGATGAAGATCATAGAATAACTTTTATACTGATACAACTGATCCAAGAGAAAATAAAATATATGTTTATAGAAAACTACAGTTAGCAAATCCATTGTCTAGATTCAGATTGTTTTATTATAATAGAATTTATAATTTTTATGGTGGAATTGAATTTTCACTTGATTATTTTTAGTAACCTCTAAGAGATGAGAGTCATAAATTTCCCCAAAGGGTAATTCATTTAAATATTAACCTGTTAGTTAATGATTATAAAATAATTATAGATTAATCTATAAATTTAATAAACATTTTTATGTAGACTACATGTAGGCTTACTAATGAAAGAAAAAATGTTAACTCAAACCAATAAGTTAGAGCTTTATCTGTTACCTTTTATTAAATGGTAATAAAACTCCAAACAGATTAATGATAGAAATATGCAAAGAAATCATAGACATGCTAAAAAAATTAAAGAATTTTATTTTTATACATTGAGGGTGGGGAAGTTGATTGAAATGCATAAATCATAAGGCAGTGATCAATTTGAATATTTTATAAATATTTGATACTTCTGCATTACAAAAACAGTCATAAGTAAAAGAAAAATAATATTTTGAAAACTATTTTGAAATTTTTGTGATATAGAACTGAATTCAAATATTTCAAATTGTTAAGAAAAGGACAAATATTACCTAAAAATGAACAAATGATATGAACAAAATGGAGAAGTTTAATCATGTTAAAAGTTGTTTTTGACATTAGTTCTAAAAAATGTCAACTACTACAGTAAGAGAATCACCATTCTAAATTCATTTTACTTTTTTAAAGGTAAAAATATATTTGATAATATGTTGGTAATATCAGCAGAAACAATTATTCTCATCCACTGTACTTTTTGGCATCCAATTAGGTAATATCCACTAATTTTTAAGTGTATACAATATTTTTGATTTAGAAATTCTACCTAAAATGGGCTGGGGATTTAGCTCAGTGGTGCCACCACCTGCCTCGCAAATGCAAAGTCCTGAGTTTGACCCCCCCCCGGAAAAAAAAAAAAAAAAAAAAAGAAAAAGGAAAGAAATTCTACCTAAAATAATATGCAAATTTTATATTCACATTTACATACAAAGAGGAGGTAAAGGAATATTTTTGTAATACTGTTCAAAATAGAAAAGGTTTAAATTAACATCAAAGTCCATTTACATAAAGTAAGTTGAGACTATATTGCCAGATTTCAGTGTAAAGATACACAATGGTTTTTAATGTATGCTATAAGTAAAATACATATATAGGAAGCTACCACTGTGTAAAATACATGTATACATACACAGACTCTTCCCTTCAATACACATGGGCTTGAATGCACTTCAAAAGCATAGATTTTTTTCTCTATGTAGGTTATATTTTAGAGGTGCAAATACTTCCTGTCTTGATGTCAAGAAAAATCTGATAGGTCAGTAATACTTGCACATGAGTGAGTTACACTATATAATACATCAGTCAAGAGGCTAGGGTAAACAACTGTATAATTTTAGAAGTCTAGAACAACAAAGATTTAGTTCTTGCTGATGTCTCATGTCATACAATGTAACCTTTTACGTCTAATCACAATCCATCTATCACTCTGATTTTTCCTTCATTTATTTTCCAAACTTTAAAAAAATACAGTGAAGGGTAAGGGCAGTGGCATTTATATCTTAACTGTCATCGTGGATCCTGTGTCTTTTTCTCAGACATTAGATTCAGTTTGTTGACCTTAGCAGGCCAGCTTTGGGCACTGCTTCACAACATTCTTGCTTAGTGACTCAAGCCAAAGTGACTTTATCATCTGAACCATCATGGGGTATCCTGGAAGGAGGTAGAGAGCATGAAAAATCACACACAGTGATTTGGGGACATGTACCATATGTATCATTTCTACTCACAGTCTGTTGTCTAGAGTAAATTGTACGGCCATGCCTATCTTCAAAATGATGGCTGAGAATAGTCTGCTCCTTTACCAGGAAATGGCAAACCATAATATTAGTAAATAAGCCCATAAATTGAAAGGGTCTCTGTATCCAGTCTCATCTGTTGCAACCTCCTATAGAACCTTGTCATATGATTCATTAATCTCTCTAAAACATCCACATTTCCCCTTGTACTGATTCCAATTCCTTAATTTAAAACACAAATTCTCTCCCTTCCCAAAGTACAATTTAAACCTCCCCCTTACTTTCAGTCCTTATTAATATATTATTACATTTATTTCCTCTATTTCTCACCCAAACTTCTTTAAAATATAGGTAACACTATCTTTACTTTCTCAGCTTCTGTTCACTTCTTAATCATTGCAGTCTGGCTTCTATCATTTCTGATCTATAAAAAGATGTCACCAAGAACATCAATGCCTTTCTAATTATAAGCTCCAAAGAATGTATTTTATATATTTTCTTACCAGAATATTGGAAAGATAGAAATCTCTAGGATAATATTGCTGTCTAAGTGTGTATAACTCTAGGATATTTATTTGGACCTGAGTCATGGTGGAATCTGGACTTCTCTTCTCAGAAATTACTTTTAATTTGAACTTTCTCCTCCATTTGATTCAGCTATTCTGCTTGTAGGTATCATCCTGAAAGAGCTGACGACATCTTATTATAGTGATGCATGCATACCCATGTGTATAGCAGCACGATTCATAATAGCAAAATCATGGAAACAGCCTCTATGTCCATCAACAGATGAATGGATAAATAAAATGTGGTATTTACCTACAGTGGAGTACTATTCTGCCTTAAAGATAAACTTGAATCATTTGTAGAAAATATTGATGCACCTTGAGACCATGAGCTTAAGTGAAATAAATCAGACACACAAGCTTAAATATCACATAGTTCCTCTCGTGTGAGAAACCCAAAACGTGAATAAAGAGCAACATAAAAGATAGCTAATAGGACACTGGGAGACTGGTTTTTCTCAAATGGGAAAGGGATCAGGAGATGGAGGAAGGGGAGCAAATGGGTAGGGGAAGGGGATGAAGAAAAGAATATAGATGTGTTAGGTGCATGTATCAATGCACAGGAAGGTAAGCATTATGTACTGCAAACATATACTAATAAAAATTTCTAAAATAGTAATATAGAAATTTGAGGATTATTTATGTTTCCTGCAGTATACAGAGAGCTTTCATCTAGAAGACTTGGAGTGCACCTTAGGAAGTCCTAAGTGTTAGGCAGAATTCGAAATTCCCCCCTCCTTTTACTTACCTGATTTTCCTCCAGTGAACATTTCTTCGTCATCTGGATAAGACAACACAGAATGATAAGATTAGGTGTGCATCTCAAAGATTTTAAAAAAGCTAATTTAGTCTATCTTTCAAATAAAGGAGCCTTTTAGGGTCCTTCTAAGTGTAAACACATATGCTTCAGTTAAGTAGTACATTGCAGTTTGAAGTCAATTACTGACCTGGAAATAAACTATTTTCTTTAAATTTGGTATAGCCTATCTTGCCTTTCAGACATTTTTCAGAACTTCATGGGGTTATTGAAACAGTGCAGAACACAACTTGCTCATGATCTTGACCAAATTTCCCTTACAAAATGACAAAGAACTTTCTGTAATACTGGATCACACTGAACACTATCTTTGAAATTCTCCATTCCTTAATCCCCAATCCTCTTAATTTTTATAACTAGTGCCTAAGTATACTGTTTTCTGAGTCCTTTATGCCTACCCTGTGATTCTTTTGTGTGGTTCTTTCTCTATCTGACCCTAAATATTGGTTTTGAGAGGGAATACTCTTGTCACTACAATCACTCTGCACCTAGGAAATCTCTCACTAACATAATTGCAACTGAAATGCGCATGCTCCCAATTCTCAAATGCATATTTGCTATTCATATATCTCCCTTAATGTACCCATAAAACTACTTCTCTGCTAGACTATTCTAGTGGTTTATGTTACACACAACTTGAAGTCACATGTGCACACCTCAATCAATGTGTTTAGGTTGCCCAGCTCTACCATCAAACATCTTTAACTTGACTTCCTAAATATGCATTAAAGCCATCACTAACCCTCAGTTCCTGCAATCACAGCCATATGTCAGCATATGTCAGAATCTGTAATACTGCAATTTTTAAAGACAAGTTCTGCCTATGTTGCTCAGGCTGGCCTCAAACTTATTATCCTCCTGCCTCAGCATTCCAAGTAGTTAGGATTATAATCATGCATCACCACATCCAGCTATGTCAGCCTCTTACCCTCATTCCAGTTGCATTCTTGTGTTAGTCTTAGTCTCCACAATAGAGTGCTCCTCTGAAATGCTAGAGTGCTACTCTGAACCCAGAGATGACCATATTCCTACCTTTTTAAGCAGCTTCAGTAATGTCCTGAACTAGTCTACAAAAAAATTTTTATTTCATTACCATGAATTACCCACAATCCCCTTCAAGTACATATTCTCAATGATTTAACAACCTTCTACCATGATCTTTCTCTTAAAGTTCCTAATCATGTCACACTGGAGAGCATGTCTTTAAGCCACTGGCCTTTAGAGGACATGCCAGACTATCTAAACTATAGCATGATCTCTATATCTTTCAAGTTATCATATTGCTTTGTGATTATATATCTATATTTCTGGCAGTTTCTCAACATAGTACTATTTAGACCAAAGATTTGCCTTCATTTATGTCTGTGTGTCTCCATATCTAGTGCAGTACAGACACACAGCAAGCACACAGTGAATGTGCTGAAGAAGGGAGGGAATGATGAAAGAATGGAATGAAGGAAACTCTGGTGAGGATTACTACCCAAAGAAAGGAACCATTGATGGTGACGCACTGTTAGAGCTGAGCAGGAAAGCTAGTTGGGAATATCAATTTCATCAGATCCTCTTGAACAACACAACATAAGCACTGCATGCCATCTTCATGTCTTCATTTGAAATAGCATTTGAAAGGATGTTGGGAAATTATGACTGGGTCGATGATAGCACTCCTGAGAATTAAACTGTTGTCCCGTGTCCCTTTTTTCAGAGCCATTCTGAAAAAGATGCTTAGAAAATTCTTGGCTAACAGCAGAGCTAAGTACAATTAACTCCATTTTTCAAAAACTGATTAGCTGGTGTGTGGATTTTCCAGACTTTTTGATTGTTCTGCTTCAGGCTATTTAATTGCTCATTAGAGTCAAAAGACAAGGAGATGAGTCAGCCACATCTGTGACTTGTTAGTGCCTGTAGTAAACATTTATTAGTAAAGAGGATGAAACCCTACACTAAAACATAAATTTCGTGTATATATTATACCAAATCCTTCTCGTGACAAATAACGGAAAATGGACTTTATTTAGCCCACATTTCTGTAAGAACTAATTTTGGAAATTCCTCATATTGCCATCATTCAGAATTTTTATTCGCACAAGTATGTATATTTAATGAACATGAAGAATTCTAATTGTCCCTAATACAGGCAAGTACATAAATTGCTGTATTACTATCTAATGACAAGCCTAAGCATGTACCTTCTAGTCAAGGTTCATGGCATTGAAACAATAGTAATTAACATAATAGTTCCAACAATTTAGTTTAATTTGAAGAGATAATTTTTTTAAAATGCTAACATAATACTATGTTTAACATAATACTTTGTGTAGACATCTGAATTGATAATTAAAATTTTCTCTTTTATCTCTTTAAGGCCATGTATTTTTAACTAACATGATTTGGCAATTTTTATCTGGTCATGTTACTAGATTTCTATACTGTCTGGTGTCTGTGTATACTTGGAAGCATTTATGGCTGTTGTCTATGAGGTCAGTTCTAAGGACTAAATTCTGTTTTAGTCCTAAGCCCCAAGTGCACTAAGCATTTGAACAATCCTTGTTGATGATCCAATTTAACAGAAGCAATTAATTCTGTTTAAATGACCTTTCAAAATTAATGCTATGCAATATGGCATGTCTCAAAGGCCAACCTAAATTGCAAAGATTGTATCGGCATTTTCCACAGCAACGCTTTCATAATTTTCCTTGGCTTCCTTTTCTACTTTCTTTGTCAGAAGTAGCTCTTCAATCCCTCACTTAGTTAGAAGTCATCTAAGTTTGTGTCAAAACTTTATACTCTAGATTATTCCTAGTGTTTCTATATTAGTGTCTTCTACCTCATTTTATACCTCCTCGACCAATAGACTAAGGACAGCACTTTTCTCTTAGGACAAACAAGAAAATATCAGATTTGTTTTCTTTTCTTCTTTTTTATAACTAATAAGAATATACAAATGTTCATTTTTTTACAGGTAGTCAACTGTTTACAACTTTAATAGTTTCTTTTCGGGGGGGCCGGGGATTTAGCTCAGTGGTTCCAGTGCCTGCCTCACAAGTGCAAGGTCCCGAGTTCGATCCCCTGTACCAAAAAAAAAAATAGTTTCTTTTTTTTGGTTACAACTTTCCATAAATATGAATGTAGAAATTTGAGTTGAGAAGGACTCTATGTATTTATTCTATTTAACTATTTTATTTCAAAGAAGAAAACCCGAGAAGGGATATGCATATTCACAAATATTACACATGAATTAATAATGTACACAAGACTTCATAGTTTTTCCTGTTAAAGTGTTACCAGAGTTTGTGCCATTTTATTAAATAGGCCTGAACAGTAGATCTCTTATGTAGCAACTTGCAGACTTTAGGAAGAAATGGTGTGTCCCAAAGATCAGAAATTATTTCATAATACAAATGTCCAGTTTTCTCTTTCATATTTCAGGAACGGAGGGAGGAAAAAACTTCATCACTTTTATTCAAGAGGTTTTTCCCATCCACTCTTATCAGCCAAAAGGATGGGATACTAACAGGCTTAAAAGTGCAAGAAATCTCACTTCATTGACAGTCAAATTCTGCATGCTTAACAAAAGACTAATGGAGTCAAAAGTTTCATGAACGACTAAAAAATATCCAGATTATTAAATTATGATTTCGACTTTTTATTTTGGTTTCATTTCTACCTTTTAATGATGCCTGATAAACATACAAAAAAGTGCACAAATCATAGTCATATGATTCAAAACCTTTCACGAATATATCTGGAGGGCCACAAATCAGATTAGAAAACAATATTGGCAATTCTCTAAAAGCACCTCTTCTGCCCGTCTCCCAGTCATTATTCTCTCCTACCCCTCCCCAAGGATAACCACTCACCTGACTTCCAACACTATCAACAAATTGTGTCAGTGTTGGAAGCTTATATAAATGCAATCACATAACAAGTACTCTTTCCAGTTTCGATTTTTTCATTCATCAGTATCATTGCTGCATGTGTGAGATTCATCTATGTGTTCCCATCCATCTGCATTTCATTAATTACAATTTGCTGTATAGGCTTATCACTGTATTTATGCACAAGAATCATCATCCAGTCTATTGTTAAGAGTGTTTGGCTTATTTCTGATTTAAAGCAACTACAAATAGGTTCACTATAAACATTCTTGCACATATATTTTGATGAATATAAATGTATTAAATTTTACATGTGATATACATAATAATAACATTGCTGAATGATAGGGAATGCATACATTTAGCTTTAGAAATTCTGACAGATTTTCAAAATACTTCATAGCAATTTACACCGCTATTAATAGTTCCTGAGTATGCCATGTGTTCCACATCCTCAACAACACTTGGCATTTTCTGTCTTTTTCATTTCAGCTCAATCGATTCTTAAGCTCTTATTTGAGGCAAATCTAAGCTATATGATGAGTTCAAAGCCAGCCTGAACTACATAGCAAGACCTTGTCTCCAAAAAACAAAAAAAGGAGTCCAAATTTTTCATTCATTCATTCATTCAACTTTGCTATTGCTCAGAATTATGCTGGATGCTACAGATACATAATCAAATAAATTATGGTTCCTATTCTCAAGCCACTTAAAACTAGCAACAAGTAAGAACAAGTGACACTAACAGTGACAGTAACAGTGGAGAATCACTCCTGTTGTAGTAGATCACAACAAAAGCTTTACTGTAGGTGAGAAAGCACTCATTTGAAGAAAATTGCACACCGGGGATCAAATTCAGGCTAATTTGTGATGGAAAAACAGGAATTGGCTCTAACATGAATTTGTGAGAGGGGTCTGCTAGATATGGAAGTACAATGTTCAATGCCACGTTGTAATACTTAAACTCTGAATTCCATTCCACCAGGGGCTGAAAATGCTAAGACAAATCCAAAATCAGTTCTTGGAATGAAACAGTGATCCACTGAACCCTTTGTCTGTCCTGCTTTTACACCTTGAAGAAACAGGGGAGAAAGCTAAATATTTTTTATAACTTCACATTCTCTCTCCATAAAAGAAAATATTTCCAATTGCCAAATGTACTGAAAAGAATAAATGCATAATAAAGTTGAAAGGATATTGTTCTAAGTAAAAAAAAAAAAAACAAAAAAAACCCCACAGAAACTCATATGACAAAGACGCTCTAGACAATATTCTAAGAAAATGGTATCTGTGCTTTATATTCTCTTTCCAGGACATTTCTGGACTTAGGAGAGGAAGAGACAACTGAGGGGGGAAATCACAATTTAACGAAAGCAAAATGTCCTCTCCAGAAAGAGGAAAAGAGTTCCAAGTCATTAAATACAAAATAGGCATTCCATGAAAGCATAAGAATTTGATTGAATAAGATTACTTCATTCACATGTGTTCCTGCAATTATTAATATAATGTGTTTCTAAAATAAAGATTCAAATTACCTTTGCAGTAATTTCCAATATATAAACTAATGCTGTAGTTCTAGCCAAAAAAAGCTGTATTGAATTTTTCCAGGTGTATTAACTTTCTACGAATGTTGCAAGGTCAGAGTTTTTGTTCCAGAAAGAAGAATAGACACAAGAGATTTTCATGTTCCATTCTATTTACCAACATTGAAATTATTCGATGGGAAGATGTTTATTGAAGACATACAGACATAGCACAATTCATGTTTAGGGAGATGGATTTCTTGCAATTGCAAAAGTCAATGGCATTTCACAAACGCTCTCAGGACTCTTTATTGACTTTCTGGATGGATATTTCTACTCAGGAAATGAGTCAGAGTTTCATGAAGTGCTGATGACACACATAAATGCCAACTTGCTTCAGACACCCTCAACACTACAATAATTTTAGAATTGGTCTCTATTACATTTTTAGAATTACTTAGTTTACACATTTATAAATTTTTCCTTAATAATTTGAACTTCACAAGTTGAGCAACATTTGGGGAATCACCATCTTTAAGAGTATGGGGGTAACAATAGTATTTAATTATAAATATACATATAAATAAAGTTATACCTGAATTATGAGGAGTTCAGATTCTAAAGAATTGCCTTTATCCCACACAAAGTTAAGGGAAAAACTAATCTTTATCATGTTGTAAAAACATCATATATTCCATAACTTAAGTGGGAAGATAACAATTTTAATGAAAGAAAACATACAGGAGGGTAGGCTACATGCTTGAGTTGTGGGAACTTTCTTCTATATCATTTAAATTCCCACAAACAGTATGTAAGCATCCCCTCTCACCACATCTGGGCCAGCACTTCTCATCTTTAGTCTTTTTGTTGATAACAGCTATTCTTAATGGGGTGAAATATTATCTCATTGCAGTTTTGATTTGCATTTCTCTGATGATTAGTGATGGGCATGTTTTTCATATGCCAGGTGTCCATTTGTTTTTTTCTTCTTTTGAGAAATATCTACTTAGGCCTATCATCAATTTTTAACTCAGGTTGTTTTTATTTTTGTTTAGGTTTTGCTACTGAGTTTTCAGAGATTCTTATATTTTCTGGATATCAATCCCTTATCAGGGATATAGTTTGCAAATATTGTATCGCATTCTGTAGGTTAACTGCACTCTGATGGTTTTCAGAGTCAATAAAAATACAAAATACTCAGTCTCTCTTCCATAATGATGAGTTCGAAATATTTTTTAGGACACAAATGTCAACTTATTGCTTTTTCTGTTCATTCGGGATCACCTACATGCTTATAAACAAACATCAATCAAAAGCTAAATAGACCCTTAAAAATATTTGTTTTTATTTTAAAGTTTGGTTTGTAGAAGTTCATTACACAACTATAATAGTCATGCATCAACAATGAAATGAAACAAAACAAAAAGAAATTGTCAACCATAAATTGAAATTGAATTCAATTGAAGAAAACTATCTCTATGTACTAGAAAAATAAATGTATACAGACAATGTTTCTTTTTATATGTATTTCTTGTTCACCATTTTTGTACACTTTTAGTTTCCAGAAAAGATTTGGAGAGTGAACTAAAAGCATATAAGTAAACCCCAAACTATTAACTCATGATAAGAGATTTTTAAAAACCATAGACATGAAGCTAAGAAGAAAAATTATTCAGAGTCTTGACTAGGAAGAGATATAATAAGTGATTTCAAATCTTAGCTCTAAGTTCCTAGCAATCCAAGTTAAAGGACAACACAATGAATTACATATATCTCATCATTCAGTGAAATATGAACTCATAGGGAAAGTTCTGAACTTTTATAGAAATTTGACACAAGGAATTTTTACAAGGGCTTTGAACAAAGTAATGAATGAAGACCTCAACAGCAGTATTTTTTAATGAAATAGAAAAGTTTCTTACTATATCAGACCATCTATGAAAGCTAAGGATACAATATTTAAAGAGTTCAATAATAAAAATTCTAAAGTGAACCAGGTCAGTAATGCCAAGCTATGTAACTTGTTGGTCTTCAAGTTTATTTTAAAATAGAAGATAAGATGAAAAACTTTTAAATTATTTTTTCTTATTTCCATAAGAAATAATTTCATGTTTTAAGCCTTCAGTAGTAATACTGCTTTGCCTCACTATATAAATATAAAATGGATCATCCAGGAGGCATGTTATATTCATCCTATATCATAATGAAACCTTTGGAGAAATACAACATATCCTGACTGGAACTATATGAGCAGAGACATCAGAAACATAACCAGAGAAATAAACATGCACCAACTAAGAAACAGATTTATGCTACTCTTGTTCAGGAGCCTCTTAGCTACAGTTCTGGCCAAGGTTCCACAGAAAGGTGTTTGCTAGATACAGGATTGTTCATCACTTAGAATCCAGTGTCTGCACCATGATGATGCCCAGATGACCTGGCTGCAAGGCTGAGGAAACCTCTTCCTGGCTGGAAACAGCGGACCACTTATTTGACATCTCTAGCCCTCTGTTTCTCTTTAAAACAGAGAGTAATAATAACAGTATTTAAAATACCAGATAAGGTAAACATAGAAAGTAAAGCCATGTAAGTTATTTTGTATGAAACTAGGTATCCAATAAGTCTCCTCTCAATGTTAGAGACATTCTATGTTCTTTATTCTTAAAAATTAATGTATTCTAAATACCAAGCAAGTACATAAAGCAGTGGGGGGTTTTTTGGTACTGGGGATCGAACTCCGGTCTTTGCGCTTGCGCAGCAGGCCGTGAAACCACTGAGCTAAATCTCCAGCCCTAGCAGTGTTTTATTTCAAAGACTAAAATGCCTGCCTCTGATTTTGCATTAAAAGTGAGTTATCTAAATGCATTATTCTTTATTGAAAGACTATTTCACAAAGCACACTCAATGCAGGCAAAGAGGAGTTTATGTATATCTCGAATCCAGTTTTTAATCACAGGCTTTTCAGCTTGGCCACAAGTTTTATAGGATTAGATTTATTTGTGATCATTAGCTGAAGCATTCACTTCATAGTAAAAACTAATTTACAAAGATTTGCATGGACTAAAATTTTATTAGACCCAAACATTCAGTTTGGGATACTTCAGCAATGTTACTTAATGTTTTGTAAAGCTCTATAAACTTACTAAATAAAACAGCACTCCCATAGTCTCTTGGCTTTAAAGTAATCACACATTAAAGTAGATGATTAACTTTTTTGTTGAGACTGAGTTTTAGGATCCCACTTTTTTTCCTGGTAATAATGCAAAGCTAGAAGAAGTTCCCTTTCACAAATTGAGGCGGTCAGAGTCTGCTATGGATGTCACTGAAAATTCTCCTCCATAGGAAAAAAAGTCTATGCTTCTACTTGACATATATAATGAATTTTTAAATACACTTCCTTTCTTTTGCTTTGCTTCCTCTTTTGTATGATTTAATCACAGATTTTTGAGACACTGTTACTTTCTTGTCTGTACTACAGCCTAGAAAGTTGAGAAAAAAAATTACTGATAGTAATGTCATTGAAATACTTTCTTCAACAGTCAATTCATTCTTTCACCATGAATTTCAACAAATATTTAGTGAATAATTACTATGAAATTTTTATTTTCTTAAATGGAGAAAAATGATCAGAGAAAAGCATACTTACTGTACCTTGAGTGCATGTTCTACATGTTCTTTGACCCATTAGTCTGTTTTTCAGTCTGTAGAGATAATAATTAACTTCATAAGGTCTTATAAGATAAATAAATGAATCTGATGCTGGAAAAATAAAAGGTGAGTGAAGAGAGGGAGAAAAACAGAGGAATTGAAATGTGTCATGTACATGCACCAATCCCCTACAGTGAATGTGATCATTATGCATGGCAAACATGTACTAATAAAAGACAAAAAGAATAAATAAAACAGCAAAAAATAAAGCACACTTATAAGAAAGAAATTTAAAACTCATCATTTATTGAATACTTCTTATGGGTGCAATTATTTTTTACTACTTTATAGATTCCAACCAAGGTTCCCATCAATCAAGTTTCTTTTACCAAGTCTCCAGGCTGAGGAGAGTACAGTCAAGTATCCCTCAGGGCTGTCTAGACTCAACACCTGTGCTCCGAACAACAATCTGCCCTTGTGCTGTCAAGGAATTTATAAAGGAAGGAAACCAGAAACACAATAAAATGGAATGTGACTAGAAGTTTTTAACAGACAAACTTAACATTCAATAACCAAAGACATGTTTTGGGGGGGGAAATAGGGCTAGATTACATTCTATTCCTAAGTTAGGATCATTCTCATTTAATCTTATACTATATTAAAATTTTTAAATCATATTTTAAAAATTCTTCCCACATTCCTAGCCCATTTTTGTTCTCATTCTTACCAAAGAACATATAATGGCTGCTTTGTCTGGATCAAATTTGCCAAGAAATTATGATTGTGACTAATAGTAATCATGCAAGAGATTTCATGGTTGAAGGGGAAAATGAATCAGAACAAGATTATGATTCTGTTTCTTGATGTACATACACATTCTGTCTCTGGTCAGGGAAAAAGAGATAGTTCTAGTCCAAGTGACAAAATATCAAAATACCAAGATTCCAAAGCTGCAGCCCTGCTGAAAGTGTGTAGTATCACTTTAGATAGATTTAATTTTTTCATCTCAGTTTAGAAGCAAGTGATTTAACTTATCTGCCTATTGAGGGTATATATTTTATCAAAATTTTCTGACCTGGGTTTGTTTTCACTGCTTTTGAAATCATCTTCATTGACCGAGAATAATAATTCAAGTTGCTTGAGGTAGTACTCTCCTCCTCCCTCAGTGCCTGACTCACAGGCCCAGAGAAAGCAAGAACACTCTTGGACACCATGGAAAAGGTTCTTTCCTAGGCTTTTTCTATTTCTGATTCGATGGTATAAATTTAAAAAATATATATATAAAGCTTGTAGGTTTCAGTGATGACAATTCTTTTTTATTTTTCAGTAATGTGAAGACAACTCTAAGTAGGAAACTTAAAATAAAGCACCATTGAAAGAAAAATGAGACCATGTAAAAGTAAAGAGCACAGTTAAACAAAACCTCTTCCAAGACCATGCACATTTTAAATGTAAATGCTGACACTTATAGATAATTATCTATTCTGTACGTACTCTCTATCTGAATATATTTTAGAACAGCATACCTTGAATTGGCATTAAGGCTCCTGTTCACTGGTTATTAAGAAACGACACATCTGGGAAGCCTACTTTCTTTAAGCATGTATTTGTTTATTTTTCAAGTGCAACATTGCCATCTACAGGACACTAAGTGACAAAATTCCACCCTTGAAAGACTTGTTTGGGATCAAAACTAGAAATCATTGAGATTGAAAATGTATGTGCTCAAAATAAATACCATTTGATTATTCTACCAGGCACTTCCACTTTATGAACTATCTCATAATCTCACAGTTTACCCAAGAAAAGAATGCATGAAGTCAACTACCTAGTGCCTAGTGCCACAGCTTCTTGGTTTTTGGAGACTGTATTAGGGATTTACTCAAAGGCCTTATCATGATGAATGTTAAGGACCTAGAAGAAAAGCTAGTATCAGCGTGAGTGTTTAGGTTTTTAGTTGGTTATACCTAATACCAATTTTCTTGCAGTTAGCTGACTCTAGGTTACCTCAACTTCCCCCAGAATTCAAATAACAAATACAGCAACAAATAGTCTTTCTAAACAGGCATGGACATCTGAGATTTCCTAATGGGACTAAATAATCAAACTTCCCAAAGTGCAGTTGAATAACAACAGGGAGACACTGATCCTATTTTGCAAATGAAGAAGCAAAGGCAGAGCTAGGAGCTGACCTTGAAAATGTTGGCTCATTGTCAGGCTGTCTTATTTCAGCAAAAGTGAGAAAGAGGAAAGGAGAGGCAACATAACTTATTTTCTCTATTTTGACACACAGATTAAAATACGAGCTAAGAAAAATTATAGAATATACAAATGGTATTAAGAAGCTATTTCTGACTGCTCGGTGTGACCTCAGTTCAGTTGAAATTTGAATTACAATATTTATTAGAAAAAGCTTGAATGTTTCAGGAAAAGCTATTTTGGTTTCCTAGTACATTTCTAATCTCCTTTCCTGAAGATTTAATATAAGATGTATAATTAGCTCACTCTAATTCCTTAATTGTGGCTCATCTAGAGGGTAAGCGATGGGCATGATGGCAGTGGCACGACCCTGCCATTCTGCAATTCTTTAAATCATCAACTAAAGAATGAGAATTATGTAAATGAAATCCATCTCAATCATAAAGGAGAATATAAAGTTAAGTTTATTTAATGATCACAATGCTAACTAGAAAATACTCTATGAAGAAATGGTGCGTTAATAACAAAGAAAAAGACTCATTAAAAGGAGAAAACAGTTTGAAAAAATTCCATATTGGGGTTTCATTTTTGGTGTTTACTTCACAGCTTTTCATCATGTATCCAGCATATCCTCTGGGTACATGAACCAAGTTTAAATCAAAAGATTAAAGAAAAAACTCCTAGCCACAAAAACAATCTAATTTCTTCTGTAGTCCATCTAACTACTGTCACCAAACTTGAAATAAAATGTTTCCATGGAGTAAATCAGTGGCTATTGATCCCAAAGCAATTAATGAAATAAGGCACCAATCTTTGGCTGAAGCCAGTATGATTATTTCCATTAAAAGGAAATTTATATGTTTATCATCTATTGCAAGCAATATGCAGAAGGAACATCTTTTAAGGAAACTGCTTTTTTCAAGTTCTCCAAAGATTCCAGCATTGCCCCACCCAATGGCAGCTCTTAATTCTTCATCTTATTTGACTGCTCAGCACTGGACATTATTTTTCCTTCTTGCTGAAACATTGACTCTGGTTGGCTTTCACAATATGTCACACTCCTTTCTCCCTCCCCCAAGCCTTTAGCCACTTGTCTCTGCCTCTTTGCTGCATCCTGTTCTTTCTGATCTTTGAATTCTAATGTGCCCTTAGGATTAGTCTTTGAGACTCCCTTCTTCTCTATCTCCACTGAACATTATATAATTCCAACCAGTCCATGCTGTAAGCATCATCTTTATGCTGATGACTCCCAAACATATGTGTTCAGTGCTATGCTTTGCCACAACTCTAAACTCTTATGTCTGAGTGCCTACTCAGCCTCTCCATTTTGATATGTAACCATGCATTTCTTGCTTGCTATGTTTGAAACAGAATTTTTTTATTCTTCCATACTCTTACATTTGTTTCTCTTTAAGGGTGTCCTATCCAAGAAAATAATATCGTTGAGGCATGTAATACATATTTCCTGAATTACCTTGCAATTAATTAACTAACACAAAGAGAGTAATGTGAGGGACTATAACTCTGTAGTTAAGCAAATGATGCCAGTATAATGGAAAACATACTCAGAATGCCATATGGAACAGTAAGGCTCATGAGAAGGACATCATTAAAAAAAAAGGTCCACCATCCACACTTTTACTAACTTCACATAGTCCTCATATAGCATCCACACTAAGATACTTAATTATTTTAGAGTTGATTTAAGGGAAGTCTTCAGGTCACAAATACCACTGTACTTCATTTTCCATCCTCCTAAATACTAGCTCAGTAAGTACCGAGTTAAATACTAAATACTAGCTCTTCTGATACCATTAACAATGCCCAAGATTGTGAGAGACTGATCTCTTCCCCACTATTGATTCTCCTAAGAAATGAAGGCAGCAACACATCACTGGAAGTGAGGTTTATAACCTCAAAGAATCTTAAGGAAGGTTGTCTATCCATGGCTATCTGTGAGAAATATGTATGTGTGGTCACATTTAATCTCTTAAAAAGTTCAAAGGACACAAAAAAGATCTATTTGTGATTTTGCAAAAAAAAAAAAAAAAAAAAAAATCCAAAAGTCACTCTATCCATTTCAATCTTTTGGTCTCTACCAGTTCAAAAATATGTCTTATAGAATGTAAGTCCATAAAATTGCTCCAAGAAAAAAGGGAATTCATAGAGGTCAAATAACTAGAAAGACTGTGATCTCTAAGAGAAACACAGAGCACAAAAGTGTGTAAGTTTCTGCGAATCTCTTCAGTAAGGAGGCCCAGTCAATTTTGTTTAGCCTAAAGGTTATGGGACCACAGACTTCTCTTTATGACTCTTTAAAACACTAACACTCTTCAAAAATGCAGCTCCCAGGAATATACCATGGGAAATTACAAATTACAAAATACCAACCAAGGAACCTTGAAATCACATGGTAAATGGATGTATATTGCAGATATTCTCCAGATTAAGTTGGCAAATTTTGTTTAACTCTACTAAGCAGTGTCACCATTTTATATTCAGATATTTGAAAATGTGCAGAAATAACCTGAGTCTCTTTCAGTCCTACAAATCTTTAAGAAATTTATAGACACTTGCAATATATCTTTGGAGTATACTTCATAAATATTTTGTATTTGTAAGTCCTGAAAACATTTTTTCTGTGAAATAAAGCACTTTGCAGACAAATAGAGAATCAGATAAGTCTTCCAAACATACCTTAAAATTACCACAATGCAATCCAGTATTAAAATAAAGACTATTTTAAGTTATTAAATTTGACATTTATTTAGAGAAAAGGAAATTAGAGAGATCAATATTTCTCAAAAAATAGAGATGTCGTTGGCTGACGATT